GGAAAAGGGAGAAAGCGCGGCAGGGGGCGCTGGAGAACCAGCCCTGCGGAGGCGGTGAGGTGAGGACGGGAGGTGGCCAGGCGCTGTGGCTGGGCTGAGAGCGTACCTTCTGTGAGCCTCAGCTTCCCTAGCTCGCAAACGGGGACGATAACTCCCGACCTCGCTGGATGGCCATGAGGAATGTGCAGCAGGACCCTCGGCCCGCAGCCCTGCACCTGCTAGAGAGCGGTTACCGATCATTGCTATTGGTCTGTTCTGTTACTGGTAAACGTAAGTTAAATAAAACCTGGAAACGTGGAGTTTTATCTTTTTCCTCATTGCTTTCTTTTTTAATGTAGATTAATTTTGAGGGCAAGAGAGAGAGAGAAAGCACAAGTCGGGGAAGAGGGGCAGAGAGAGGGAGAGAGAGAGTCCCAAGCAGGCTCTTGCACACTCAGCGCAGAGCCCCACGCGGGGCTCGATCCCGCGAACCTCGAGATCATGACCTGAGCCGACACCAGGAGCGGGAGGTCTAACTGACTGAGCCACCCAGGTGTGGTGAGTTTTACCTTTTTCTAAACGTTCACCTGTCAATAAAAGTGGGGGAAAGAGGTGTTGACCGGTCCCGGGGCACAGGATCCTGCCTGTCCCAACGCCGAGGAGTTGGAGCGTGTCTGGGTGCAGAGAACCAGGGTACAGAAAGTTCTCGCCCTGCTGCAGGGCGTATGGAGGCCCTTGAGTGGGTTCTGTCGGTTCTCACTCACAACTGTGAGTGAGCAACCTCCTTCTTGAGGCCTCGCGAGACCCCCTTCCCTTGTGGCTGCTTCTAGCACTGAGCTCCCAGCCCGGGTGCCTCGCCTTACCTCTCCTGCTTCCTCTCCACTCAGGCCCTGCTCAGCCTCTCCTGGATTCCGGGAGCCGTCGGTCACCCTCTTTGGAAAGTCAGCCTTGAGCCTTTGGTTACCTACCCGCTCTGCCCATTTGTTCAGTCACCTCCTGGCAAGGCCTTCCGGGTGCCTGACTTTGCAGCCGGAGGGCCTGAGTGGCAGTCCTAACCCTGGGGGCGGGGGAGAGAGCCAGGCAGGCACATCCCAGACCTGAGCTTCAGAGCGCTCTGCGAGGGGGTGGGCGAGGGCCGAGGGGGCTCAGTGCCCAGGTCTCATCCACAGAAGATGAGGGGCTGTCTTAACTCCACCGACACTCCAGGCCCCCAGTTCCCGCAGTTCCTTCCCAGGTAAGTCGCTAACCACCCTCTGGGAGACAGAGAGAGATGTGCCTCCCCCGCTCCCCACATTCAGAAGCCCTGGGGGGCTGGCTGAACTCGAACTAGTGATAATAATCCGAATGCAGATGGCTAGCCTGTGCTGGGCACTTAGTACGAGCCAGGCCCTGTGCAAGGCAATGCCAGCTCTCTGACATGAGCATTCAACCCACTCTCCAGACAAGGGCAAGGTGAACTCACAACTGTCTGATAGCCGCCCTTGTCCCGCTGTTCGTCTTCCCCGCCCTAACATGC